GCAAGAATTTATATGACAATGATATGATTGTTCAAGTAGCATTGATAAACAAAAACAAAACAAAAACAAAAAAATGATTTATGTTAAGAGATCCTTATCTCTGAGATCTTTGTTCATTGGTGAATTTATAAGTACTTTAATAATTTTCCCAGATATTGCATTTAATTAATATTTTCCTTAATTGCAGACACTGGCAGGGATGATGGAGAGGGTTATAGTTTAATTGGGCAAAGGCAAAGAGTTTTCCTTCCAGAGATTTTCTATTCCCATACACCACTTTTAATGCCCCAAAGATGGAAATCATGCACACACACACCCCAAACACAATGCTGCCTCCTGGAGATGACAACTGTTGGATATCCTGATGTTCTCCAGTTGAGAAGTGAAGCAAGTTCCAGTCCTACAGAAATAACTGATTTACAACCCAAAGTTGTAGCACTTAATTTTTTGTTTAATCCATTTATACATACAAACATACATATTACTTTCTAATGATATCTAAACTGCTTAGAGAGGGCTATAAAACAATGCAAAGCAGTATATCAGTCTAAGTGCTATTGCTAATATATTTTCTCTGAATGGGTACTCTCACTGGGTAAAGTAAATAGGCGTGGGGAAGAAAGATATAGAAATAAAGGGACTCTAAAAGTACCATGCCAGAGTGAACGATTACATTTTTTTCTCTTCAGGAAGTTCTGCATCATTAAGATGAAGAAACTCTTCATATTCCTGCTGTTTACCGTCTTGCTTTTTGAAAAATATGCAAATAGTCAGACATGTGAAATTGATAACGTGATTGAACTGAAGACTAAGAAAATAATTAATTCTTCAGGTATTTAATTTTTAATTTTGTTGTTGCTTATTTATATCCCTCCTTTATTAATAACTTTAAATAACACAAAGTGGTAAACATACCTCATACTCCTTCCTCCTCCTATTTTCCTCACAACGACAATCCTGTGGCTTGAGTTGGCTGAGAAAGTGACTGGCCCAAGTTCACCCAACTGGCTTCCATATTAAGGCAGGATTGAAACTCTCAGTTTCCTGGTTTCTGTCTTTGCTTATAAATTTCTATACTCTTCATCACTCTGGCCAGTTTACAGAATAAACAGTAAAATGATACAAAATCTATAGGTAAAACAAATTAAAAAGCAGATTAAAACAATTACAATTACAAAGTAAAAAAGGCAGAGTGAGCAATTTCAACCCACCAACCACCTCCAGGGTTACAAAGCTCCCTTGGACATGCAGATAATTTGGCATAGCAGGATCTTAATGATCTTCCAGAAGGCCTGGAGAGTGGGGATTTGCCTTGCCTCTGGGTATAAGCTGATCCATGGGATGGGGACAACTGCAGAGAAGGCTCTCTTCCTGGACCCTGCCAGTCAAAGATGTTTAATCAAAAAGAATTAATAACATGCCTTCCCTGCCTATCCATGTGGGGCAGGTGGATGAAATTGGAAGAAGATATTTCTCAGATAATCTGGTTCCATGCAGTGGTGGGATTCAGCTGGTTCACATCAGCGCAATTGAACTGGTAACTAACTTTTTGTGCAGTTTCACAAACCTGCTGAAAATAAAGTGCAAGAGAGGGTTTTTCCTTCTTTTTCTCTCTCCCTTCACTTAATAGCTCTGGGCAGACAGCCAAGACCCACAACACAAAAATACTTAGTTGCGATAACAAAACCTCAGGAATGCAGCCAGCACACACCTTGAATAAACAATAGAAACTGATAGGCTTCGTGCAGGAAAACACTCAGGAAATCCATCTAGGGATAGGATTTACCTCTTCCCGTCAGAAAGAAGGACAAGATTATGAACATTTTCATTATAAAAGGTATTAAGTAACACTTCTGTGATCAGCTGATACTCCCTGGACTTCCCCAGGACCTTTCATAGCTGCTGCAGTGTTGGCCACTTCTTGTTTCTTCCTGGGGGAAAACGATACAGGATGGAACAATGACGCAGCTTGATCATACAAGGCCCTGAACTTAATTCATGTGTGCTCCAGCCAGCTGTATTGCTTCTGCTATGAAACACCCAATTTAGAACATAGAGAACACAGAAAAATAGAGTTGGAAGGGACCTCAGAGGTCTTCTAGTCCAACTCCCTGATCGAGCAGGAGACCCTATATCATTTCAGACAAAGAGTTATCCCACCTCTTTTTGAAAGCCTCTAGTGACGGAGCACCCACAGCTTCGTTTGGTTGATTGATCTCACTCTTAGGAAATTTCTCCTTAGTCCTAAATTGCTTCTCTCTTTGGTTAGTTTCCATCCATTGTTTCTTGTTGTGCCTTTTGGTGCTTTGGAAAATAGATTGACCTCCCCCCGACCCCTCATTTTTGTAGGAGTCCCTCAAATATTGGAACAGTGTTATTTTATTGTGAGTTGGGGAGATATTTGGCAAAATTGACTAAATAGAATAAAAGGAATGTTTGAATTTGCTTTTTAAATCCTTTCAGCACTGCTCTAGTTAAAAAATGAAAGGTCATTAAAAAGATCACAGTATTGTAGAGCTGGGGCAATTTTTGCACTGTCATTAGGGCAGAGAATCGGTTGTTAAATTATTTGAATCCGACAACTGGTTCCATTACTTAATCACTAGAACAGCATATTTGTGAACAGAGATTTATTGTATACATCACCTGCTTAGACATGGGAGATACATCTCCTGTCTAATCCTGAGCAAATAATAAAAAGGAAGGAAAAGTAGTATTGCAGGTATATTGAATTTGTTCATGTGGTTAATGATTTTCTTTCATTTTATGTGGGAGTAAAGGCTGACTTTAAAAAAGTGAAATCTGAAACAGTTAAACACAGGGTGTCAAAGAGTGAATCCACACAGCTTCCTTGCCCTGGTATCAGGATGGTTCACTATTCATTTCTAGAGGTTGGGTCCACAAGCCACAACCTACGCCTCCATTGTCCCTCTGCAGCTGATACAGCCAGAGGATGAATTTAGACACTCCTCCAAAAGTGGCGCTTTCCCCCTCCTCTCCTATCATCAGGTGCTTCATGTAGGCAATATGGAGCCTGTTGCTGTGCATGGGAGAGGCAGCCTGCAACAGTCTGTTCTCTGTTGGCACATGGGTTTGCTGATTTTTTGAGGGACCAGCTTCTTCCATCTGGGAGGTGTGTAGCCAATATACAAAATTCAATTCATGGCCCTCCATATTTAATAATAATTTTTATTATTAGTTTTTAGGATCACCTTTCCATAACATATTTTAGACACAGTGCGTTCATATAGACAGAATAGAATAAATTATCCTTGTAGGAAGGAATCATGTCACCCATGCCAAAACAGAGCCTGAAAAATGTTTTTCATGTGATCTCTCATCTGCTCAGAACTGTCTAGTTTCTCTTGACATTCAATAGTTTTTCTTCATAACTCTCCTGTAGGCACAATAAAAATATTTATTTTACCTCTACTCTTCGTTTAGGACCTTCAGATTTCATCTCTTTTCTCTTATCCATTATAAAACATGCTAAGTTTGATGATGAGCTAATAATTGTTTTCTCTACATGAATATGCAGAATATATCTCTGCTTTCTTGAGAATGAATCCAAAAGGAAAAGAGCAAAACAAAAGCCAGTGAGACAAATGATTGCAAAACAGAAATAAAGAATCCTGTTGATTAAAGATGCATGTGTTAATAATAACTATTGGTTTCATTCCCCAGTGCCTTCATATCTGTCAAAGCTCCAACTGGTTTGCCAAAATGTGTCTGCTCGAGGTGCTTTTGTCGCTTGTCCTTCAGGTGAGAACTAATAACTTGTGGGAGAAGATCAGGAGCTAAGAGAAGAGGATTGGGTGGGGAAAAAATCCCCTCTATCAAACCCCCTTTTCTGACATCTGTTTGCCTTGTGCATGCATGGGTACAAAATGTAAACTAAGCTAGACTGCTGAAGGAATCCACTTAGTTTGGCATTTATATCACAATTGTTCCAAACACTCAAATGAAGTAACACAGGTCTGTATAACTTTCATCTTTTCTAACTTTCTTTCCATTTCCATTTTATTTCCTAGGTTTTCTACCAACTTCATGTGCCTGTGGAATGGCTTGTGGGTCTTGGGATATTCGTCAAGACTTAATTTGTCACTGCCAATGTGCCAATATTGACTGGACTTCAGCCCGGTGCTGCAAAATTGCTTAACTGATGGCTCCTAAGCCGCTTTGATGGCAAGTTGCCTCCAGTTTCTTTGCTCAATAAAAGTATGAATTCTATTAATTGTTCTCTGTTTGAATTCTTATCTAGTGTACAGTGATGAAAAATGGAAAAACTTTTGCGAACTTCATTAATTCATGATAAAAAGAAACTCCAATATCTCCTGTCATTGCCTTCAGTTAAAGTTAATCCTTCCTTTTCTAACTATCATGATAAAGGAAGTTTTTTTCCCTTCCTGAAGAGTAGGTTTTATATTCCTTAAAAAGCCAAATGTGAGGAGAAAACCGTCTGCTATCCAATGAAGGCTTAACCTTTCCTTGCATCTTAATCAGTTTATTTTTCTTTAATCTATACTCCTTGTCAAACCAGCTATGCTTTGACAAAGCTATTAAATGAAAGACCAGTTGACCTGAAAGGCTGTAAAACTTTAATTACATCCTAATAAATGTATAAATGTATTATGGGACCTGAAGGATTGAATACATAATTCTTGAAAATTGCTTCTGTATCAGGCAGAGTTTGAAAGGACTGCTCTCAGTATATGGCTTCCTGGAATCACTGCATCTCTAAGTTGAGTATTCTTAATTCTAATTTTAGATATAAAGGGAAATTATCACTTTCTTTCCTTGTTTCTTGAGAAAATAATTGCATTAAGAGAACTGATACCGAGTATAAGATATATTATGCTGTGACCTTTCCTGATCAAACAGATAAAATATTCAGGTGATTGAATCAACAAACAGCCATCAAAGCAGATTGATCTATGCTGAAATAGAAAGGCATAGCTCATATTGGCCAATAGTATGATCACAAGGGATCCTGGAACAATTTATGTTGCAAATCAAAGATTCTTGAGTTAGGATCTTTCTCACAATTGCCTTAAAATACTCTGATCTTCAAAGTGGCAGAATAGTATGCAAGCATATTGTGCTCCAATTGCAGAGCCCACCCCTTTTAATTCCTTTTTTTTATTCATTCAATTTATGTAGCTGCCCATTTCATTGGTGACTCTGAGTTGGTAATGAGAGTCTTTCTGCTTCAGTCATGAGAGCCATACCTGATGGCTATATCTTTCCAGTTTCAATGTGGGCCTTGGTTTCCCCTCCATTGAAATTTGATCAGTTAGCAGGAAAATGTCTAGGATCACTCTTCTTAACCCAGGAAAGCAAAGGCTGGAGAGGAGGTGAGTTCTTACAGGTGGCCCACTCAGTGCACTGAGTTCACCTGTCTGGTCTTGTGCAAGTGATTTATATAGATGCATTCCATGGCAGCTCATAGTCAAGCTCGATTCTGGGAAGAGGATTAAAGGAAAAGTCTATCTGTCATGGGTTAGTTGTGAGGAGCATCAGGGAGGCTGCCTCTTGATTCGACCTCTGCCCTCAATTGCATTTGTGACTTCTCACTTGGACCCAAAAGGAAATGGGCAGATCTCTCGTCAACCATCTATATCCCCAAGTAGTAAGTGTTACACAGAGGTGGCACTGTTTGTGGTGAGTGACTACAGATGGAAATAGTGTATAGTAAATACAATAGCATAAAGATAGATGAATTGTCCCTGATGAAGCAGACCCTGCACCTGCAGGAATATACTAGGAGGAGGAGGAGGAGGAGGTGGTCGTAGAAGAAGGGGGAGGAGAAGGAAGAAGGAGAAGGAGAAGAAGATAGATGAAGTGTCCCCCAAAGCAGAGGTGGTATTCTGCAGGTTCTGAGCAGTTCTGGAGAACCGGTAGTGGAAATTTTGAGTAGTTCGGAGAACCAGCAAATGCCACCTCTGACTGGTCCTGCTCCCATCTATTCTCTGCCTCCCGAGTCCCAGATGTTCAGCTGGGTTTTCTTTGGTTGCCCTGCACAGGGGAACAGAGCTGGAAATCAGGCGAGTGGGGTGGGGAGGGAAGGTGATTTTGCATTAACCTTCCCCCAGGAGTGTGGAGGGAATGGAAATTTTACAGTATCCTTCCCCTGTCATGCCCACCAAGACATGCCCACCAAGCCACACCACACCCACCAAGCCATGCCCACAGAACTGGTAGTAAAAAAAAAAATTTGAATTCCACCACTGCCTCAAAGTAATACACGGTGGAATATACACCTTGATGCAATGCCCTATTTGTGACAGAAATAGCAAGAACCAACTCTTTCCCTTGGTTTCTTGCTTCTGTTGTTTAAAGAAAGTGTGCTGTCCTTTCACCAAACATTAAACACATTTGAAAAACAAGTCCACAGTTCTTCCAGAAGGGTGCTACATATAAGGAACTCATTTAATTCCTAACCAGTGGTTTTCAAAGCAATTGCCTCTGCAGAATCCAAATCCTCAGTGTCTTTTGCAGCCCAAACTAAAATGACCATAGAAAGAGGGCCAAGGGCAGGAGGTAGATTTGTAGTACCCTAAAGTGGACAGTTAGGATTGAGCACATTCTAGCCTCATATTGTCGGTGAGATATGGTAGCTCATTTTTACAACACAACTTGCATTGGGAGCAGCTGAAAACACTGTTGTGAAACTAGAACAGCAACACAAATCTAAACTGTCTCCATGGTGAGATGGGAATGATACAAAGATGAAATCAGGGTGACATGACCTTTAAAACAATTAGCAAGGCAATTTGCAGTTTGTGGGATACAAAGAAGAATGCTAACTATATCAAGAAGATTCTTTCTCTCTATCTCTATCTCTATTATCAGGGTTCCGACCAGTGCCCTAACACAATTAAGAGTCTCAAGCCAACTGGCAATAAAAATCCAGTCTTTTATTAGGAGCACCATGTCAGCATTACGTAGGTGAAGCCAACTCTGATTTCACCCCCTTCGTGCTCTGCCTCTGCCTCTGACCCTGTTTCCACCTCCCAACAAAGTGTGTCACCAATCACATTCCCCAACGAGATAATTTTGCGGATTGCAGAAGTCACTCCCTCCAGGCATTGCTAGTGTCTGTTGGATATGGCCTTGACTTGCTCAGCCAGACTGCATCATGTTATGATTGAGGAGTAAATACCTTGGTGCGCCTGTGAGGTATGATTTCCCATCCCTCTGCCTATGGCAACTCAGGAGCGGGTCAGGGAAGTTTCATGAATTGACATTATATCTCTTTCTCTATCTATCTATTTATCTATCTATCTATAAATGGTTCCTGGTATGCTGTATCATCAAGGTCAGTTTTTGTTTGTTTGTTTGTTTGTTTGTTTGCCTTCAAGTCACTAAAGTGTCTCTTGTCTCCTGGCAATTGCTTGGAGAAATCAATACAAGTTTTCTAGGCAAGATTTCAGAAGTGGTTTGCCATTGTCTCCTGCTTAGGGCTGAGAGATCAACCCAAGATCACTCAGCTGACTTTGTGCCTAAGTCAGGATTAGGACTCAAAATCTGCTGGTTTCTACCATGGTGCCTTAACCACTACACCAAATCGACTATCTGAGGTGGCTGATAGCTCATAAAATCAGAAACCTAAAATAAAACCATAACATAATAATAATAATTGGGGTGGGATTCAAATTTTTTAACAACCGGTTCTGTGGGCGTGACTTAGTTGGTTGGCATGGCTTAGTGGTCCTGTGACTGGCTGGGCGTGGCCAACTCAATATCACTCATACCGAGGCACGCATCTCCTCCCCTGGCCTCTCATGACTGTAGGGATGCTGCAACAGTCGTAGGTGTAAAAAATGATCATAAGTCACTTTTTTCAGTGCCATTGTAACTTTGAATGGTCACTCCACACAAGCAAAGTACCAGCAAAGGAGCGGGAAAAAACTCCAGAGACATTCCTGAGACAGGAAGTCTAGTTTCTGTAAGCAGCACCAGAATGTTACCTTCCTGCCTTCCTTACAGGATTAGGCCAGTAATTTCTTCTAACAACCAGTTCTCCGAACTGCTTAGAATGTTAACAACTGGTTCTAGCGAATAAGTGCAAACCTGTAGAATCCCATTCCTGATAATGATAATAATAATAATAATACCACAACAATAATAAATACATCATTATAAACTATGAAATTAGCCATCGAATCAATCAATCCCTACGCAGATATCGATCTTTTTGAAAATATTGGCACATGTCTACTTTTCATAAAATGTGGATAACCCATGCAAGGTTACATTGAAGTCATTTTTCTGTACCTGAAATGGGGAGGGGGAAGATGACTTCTGTCTAAGATAACCACTCAAGGTCAGTCATTAAAGATTCATCCAAGTTCTTTAGATTCTCACTATTGGATACATGACAGCATTTATTATAGCAATCACTAAGTATTATGGATGAAGGTTGAACACTTATGCCCTGTTATGTTAAGCACAAGTTTGAAGAACTTTGTGTTTTCATGGTTTATCACTTCTAGTTCTCATCCCAAAACCAATCTGGGTATGACTGCTGATCAGTTAGAATATTATCACTTGTAGAGTTTTTAAAAAAATGTAAATTAATAATTAATCATATCCTCGGCTATTTCTCAGAGCTCATATTTATTCCAATCACATGTGTTATTATCCAGAGATAAACATATGGCTTTATGGAGAAAGAATGTAGATCAGCCTCTCAGCTAAGCTTCAAAACACAGATGAAAGAGTAACAGAAGAACAGAGCTAAACGAGACCAATGAGATCGTCTGGACTCACCCTCTGTTCAAGCAGGTGCCCAAAGTGCCCAAAGTACACACACGAACCCCCAAAATGCAATACATGCTCCCCCCACATGCACAGGCAATCCCACCACACCCCAGTGCATGCATGCATGACCCCTGCACGTGCATCTCATCCCCATGCATGCACTCCTGTATATGTGCCTCACCCCTGCACATGCAAGTGCACACCCCATGTGTGCACCCTGCCCCCCACGCATGCGCGCGTAACCTCCCCCATGCGTGACCTGTCCCCATGCATGTACGGCAGAGACTTGAAGACCAGCTGGCTGGCGGGAGGCATGCGTGCATGTAGGCACAGTGGAGCTGAACTGGGACGATGGCTCACATGCCCAGAGAGAGGACTCTGTGTGCCATGTCTGGCACGCATGCCATAGGTTCACCATCACAGCCGTATACAATTTCAGACAAATGGTTGTCCAATC